GAATACTAATAATATAGGATAATACTCCATCGTGAAATTGGGAAGTATTACCAGTTATCTTTCACTTTTCATAAGAACTGCTACTATCACAGCTGTTTAGGAGAAGTTCGTCTGTTGTCCAGAGCCTTGGGTGCTTCTCGAAGCTGTTCTGGTTGTACGCCGTAAACCTCTCTACTACATAGTGAATCTCGTTATTCCGACATCCGTTATCACAATGGTCGCCGTCACCGGCTTCTTTACTGCAGCGTCAACTAGCACTGAAAGGTCAGAGTTGCCGTAATTTTTTTTCTAAAAAAATATGAAACATACATGCATATTGGATGGTAGATCTGATCGTTATTCTCTTAGGTTGCCTTCTCGTAGGGTGAGTCAACACTGAGGATGGCTCCATGCGAGGGGGATGGGAGGGGTAGGGGAGGCGCGGTGTTCAGCGAAATCGGCAGTGTACTGACACTAGCACAGAAAGGCAGAGTTACTGTCACCGGCTTCCTTACTGCTGCGTCAACTAGCCTGAAAGGTCAGAGTTACCGTAGCCCTCTTTTCAGGAAATGAAACATACTAGAAATGCCCTGAATGATGGAACTGATCACTATTTTCTCGGGTTGCTTTCTTGTAGGGTGAGCCAGCATTAAGGATTGAGAGGGGAAGAAAGCGAAATCGAAGGTGTACTCCGTGGATCGGTGATAATTGTAGGGTCTAAACACTAAATTAAAGGCAGAGAGTACGACGAAGTTTCTGGCACCAGGGAAACGTTTGGACCCGGTAGTGGTCCAAACGGCCAACATACTGTTCACTCGTAGAAAACAGCGAAGAGAGTTAGATCCCATTTCACAGGTTTTTGACGGTCTCTCCAGGTTTCTTCGCGGACCCACCATTTCACACCATGTGATGTTTGATCACCATCAAATCATCGCAGTCGCTGCCTTCAAGGAGAAAGCCCCTTCTCCGAACTCTTGAAGAAGCCATAATGTTTCGGGTACCTGGCAGGAGGCCTGTCGTGCGGCGAGAAGGCAGAGACGCAGACGGTCAGCGGACGAGTCGCAGCGCGTACTGTGGTTTCGCGTCAAGTTAAATAAAATGTGCTATGGTACATCCCACATCACCGAGCACGCGCTGCGACATCGTCTACTGACCCGCTCTGCATCTTTGCGTTCACGCCGCGCGACGGGCCCCTGTCGCAGGGGAGCAATCAGCAGAATCGTCCAACCAGTCAACGGGCTGTCGAGTGCGTTCACTTGCGCGGCGTCACGAC